CTATTGACACATCGGCCCTTGAACAGATCGAGGCCAGTAGTGATGGGTTAGTTGACCTAGAGACTGCCGCTATGTTGATGACCGACCTTCACCACAAAGCTACTGCAGCAATGCGCAACGCAGGCGTAGGCCCATATGAGAATAGACCTGGAATGGCTTTCTCTCATAATGGAACTCCGCTCATGGAACCATCCGTCACATATCCTTCGGGGGCGATTTCGCTTCCCCAGGTCCCGTGGGATTCTTTCATGCCGCAGTCTGTAACGGAGCCAAAGTCTCATTCAATCACCTCGGGCGCTTCTGGTTCTCAAGATTCCCAGACGTCTTATACAAGCGGTAGTACGATGCAACCTCATCCTAATCAGCTTCCACCTATCGTAAAGCACAAGGCGTCGTCAAGCTATAATGGACTCGTCCCCGCGTTACAGTCCATGATTGATTCATTGCCACCCTCAATGGCTTCCACCCCCCAATTGTCACCAATACAGCCCCGTTCCGAAGCAGCAACGATGAGAGCACCTCAAGTCACTGGCGACGAAGAACGCAACATCATCTTGGACAATATCCGTGGCCATGATAGTGAACGAGCAATTCCAGAAGGCTTTCGTCTCCCCCCGTTGGCATCGTTGAACCGATTTCTTTCGACCTACTTCAGCTTATTCCATCATCACCTACCCTTCTTGCACCCTTCAACTTTTAAACCAACGCAAGTCTCACCACCACTTCTCCTTGCTGTGCTATCCATTGGCGCTCTTTATGCCTTCGATCAAGACCATGCATATATGATGCACATTGGTTCCAAGGTTCTCGTAAATCAGTTTTTACAAAACAAGGAGAATTTCAGCTCACGCAAGTGTCCTTTGTGGACCATGCAAAGCTCACTTCTCAACATGATTTTCGCAAGCTGGAGTGGAGATCCAAAGGGGTTGGAATGGGCTTGCTCGATCAAGAGTTTACTCGCTAACATGGTTGCTGGTAATCGTTACGAGCTGAAGCTTCGCACCGACGCTCGAGAAGATGCTGCGCCTACCAGATCCGAATGGGTGGAAGATGAGGGCTGTCGACGCACGTACTATGCAGTATACATCTTCTTTGGCTTATTGACATTGACATACAACCATACGCCCGCTATCAGTTTTAACGAGTTTGAAGATCTACAGCTTCCCTCGACTGAAGCGATGTGGAATCTTAATGTTTCCGACGAAACTACCTGGAAAGAACACCTCAAAGCTGCCGATATACCATCATTCATGGAGGCTCACGATAACCTCTTTCAGGGCGAATCATTACGCTACAGTGCTTTCGCAACTCGTGTTATGATCAATGCGCTTTTCCTTGAGATCTGGTACCATAAGCGCAGCCCGGAAGCACTTCAAGATATGGTCTTGGAATTCAAACTCCGTCTGGCGTTGGAGACCTGGGAGAAATCACTTGACCTTTGTGAGCCGGAGATTGTTTCAGTTCCACTCAATGCCCCTCACAAAGGACATCCATTGATCTTTAATGCTATGGCCCTGTTCCGCAATGCCAAGGCTCGTCTTGAGGTTGACCTTAAATCAATTCAAGAAGTTCTGAGGTATCATGATTCTTATGAAGTTGCTGCTGCCATGTCAAATGCTAGGGACAAGGTCAAGAGGTCCAGCGAGATGATCAAAGTCATTCAAGAATGCTACAATTGCATTGAAACTGCAGCCGTTCAGGGAATTCGCTGGGTTGCTAGGACGTCGGCTACCAACTGGAGTATCGAACATCCTCTTTGTGGCTTGGATCTCATGGTCATCCTCAGCCTGTGGCTCTATCGCCTGGAAAATGACGAGGAGCCTCCGACTGAGGAGGAATTGGTCATGCAAAACAAGATCCGAGCCCTCTTTGACGATGATTCTGTAGGCTATAGCTCCAAGCTTAGCTCTACCGTCGCTCGTGTCTGGGGTAGCATGCTTGATGAAGTTGTCGTTTGGGGGTAAGTCACAATAACGTTCATCATCAAATATACATCATGCTAACATATTATAGAATCACAAAACTCATGGGTGACTCCTTCCGACTTCATTCTCAAGCCCTTGTCGGCTACGAGGACGACATGGAAGTATCGGACGTTTCAACGCCCTCCATGATTTCTCAAGGGATGGATGACGCTGATGATAGCGTGTACTAAGATTGAGTTCTTTTTTTAATGATTGCTATGATTTCCTTTTTTATTTTCCTTGTTAGACTCGGTTTTGATATCCCTCATCTCTTTTTCATCTCACACTATTGGCTTTGACGAGGGTCGACGGTTTATCTTTGGCATTTCCTTTTTCCTTTCTTTGCATATAGCGATTTTACTTTCGGATATCACTTTTTCATGAGCAAATCTTTCTCGGGTCACGGGCAACAATACGGGGCTGGTCGGGCATACTGGGCTTTTCTTCACTTTCGTCTCATATATCATCGCGCTCTCGCGCACCTAATGTCTCTACACTCATACTCATGGCTGGCCCACTGGTGTTGCTTCTGCCCTTGTCCTATTAGCACTACCAATTTTTAATTGTTTTTGTTTCTCCTCTTGGTCATCCATTTCAGCTCAGATACCTTGTACCTTGTTCGATATACATTTGGTTTTTGAGTTTGTTTTTACTTTCTCTCTTCTTTTGCGCTTTCTTGGTCATAGTTATTTGCGAAATGTTTTGATGGATTTTATTTGCATGAAGGAGAGGCGGAAATTGGAATTGGTTGGTTGGTTAGTACTTGAGAAATGGCAACTTGGGCACGAAAGGTTTAATGTCACCTGATGGTGAATGGTGATTGGGCTGATCGGTGTATGTATAGATAGTCAGTATCTCAGCATTCTTGGTCTAATCGTTGCTTCTCTCGCAAAACGAGGCGACATCCCAGCGTCTTATCAATCAATATTATATGTCTACTCCCACACCTCGTCTTCTGACCCTTTTAAACTCAATGCGCAGTGAAACGTGACGTGAACAATAACTTACGTGGCGGGTGGTGAATGCATGTAGCCGAGTGAGGAAGTCTCTTTCATCTCCAAAGCCTAGTTCTATCCGTCTTTCTGTTATGCCTGGTGTTGACAAACGAACAACCTGTGAGCCCTCAATCTTTTTCCAAATCAATGTAGGAGTTATTCTTGGTTACAATTTTTAGTTACAACTGGGTGCAATCGGAGGAGATTAACATGTGGTCTGTCTACTCTTTATGTTCTGATTGGGTAAATATGTTGTGTTGCATTAAGCAGTCTCATAAAATGATCTTTGGCACCTGCGCCTTGTGATGGAAGTTATCAAATCTAATTATTGTACATGTGATTTCAGCAAGACGCCCAATGAAGTAGTAAGAGTAGACAAGCGAGTAGATTTTGAGAAAGTTTTAGATTCTTAGCTCATTTGTTCGATGACTTCATGTCTTCATCATGACCCAGTAATAAGTGCACGGCGATGAACGATGATGGGACTAGCTCGCAGTGTCTAAAGTCAATTCTTTTGACAATTTCAAGTATGACATGCGGGGGAGGGGGGGATGTGCTTTGATGTCAGGGATAAATTTTCCCTCTGATTTTTCGTCTGGTTTTATTGGTTGGCTGTGTGGTAAATGAATGCAAGCTAGTACGATATGTAGCTAGAAGCCAATTATTCGTATCCTCTAGAGTAGAGTGTCAACAAACGTTATTCATCACCTTCACTCAATGGATGATTTCTCTTTCTATCTTGTGAACTTCTTCCAAAACTCTGCTATAATAGAATTCGGGGAAATAGAGTATCTTTTTATCGATGTAGGTAGACCGTCTTATTCAGTGCAGACAATGGAGCGTTTAAAGACCTCTTTGTCTTCCACTGATGGAGTGTCGATTCAATCTGTGCAACATTGAGCCGTGTTGCCAAATCTACATGGTTGGATGAAACGCAGATTTGTATCACATCGATCTCCCGTTCACTCTGCAATACCTTTCTAGGTAGGTGGAAGGAATGAAGTGAGTGGTAACAAACACTCACATGCAAACGATAGATAATCGAGCATCAAAGAATCTTATTAGTTCTATACTGTTAGGGGATCACAAGGAAGTGTCAGTGGAGAGATGGATATGAAGAACGGTAAGGGTCAGAGCAAGAGAAGGAGAGGGAAAGGACAAAAGTATGGAACCCCGTGTGAGGAGTGAATGTGGAGGGGTTTCGTTCCTGCATTTGATTTGCGTTGCGTTGTGTTGCGTTGTGTTGCATACCTCCTACCTTACTAACAATATGATTATGATTATGATTATGGTATAACACAATATAAAATACAGGTACGTATTTACCAATTTCTTCATCGGATTCGCGCGCAGAAAGATCAAAGTAGGTAGGTAGGTAGGTAAATCATCTTATATTTATGGAGGAGAATAGTAAACATACATATTCATATTCACATCCATATACCTTCCATTTCCACTTCCAGTCTTGATTTTTAATTGCTCTTGCCTCTAACTTCACTTTCACCTACAACACACAATACGTCTGATACACCATACGCTCTTTCTTCTTCCATCACTCTCTTTTCATCCCTTTGATATACTTTCGTTCATCCTCTTAATGCAGACTTCCATCAACTCACTATCTCTTTCCGTCAATCATTTACTCTTCTCTTTCTCAAAAACTGCCTCTTTCTTTAATAATCAACCTTCGTCCTCCCATTACTCACTGCCCACCATTCGTCAACCCCTCATCTTCACGACTACAACGACGACTACTTCTTCACCCATCATGCCGTGGTGATCTTTCCATAAAACCATCTGGCAAAGGCTATCTTCCGACAAGTACAAATCAAACACTCTTTTTTCCCCTTTGACTTTGTACTTTCTGTCCCGTTCAGTCAACAGGTGAATTTTCGCTTTCATTTCAAACGCAGTGCAATTTGGCGATAACACTACAACCTGTACATCAAGAGAAGATACTTGTTTGTTTTCGTTGTACCACTTTGCCTTGACCGCATACAATAACAATATCATTCATCCCAAAGATTCTGTCTCATTTAAAATGCGATTCATTATCCCAATAGTCCTGTCCTTCGCAGGCCATGCGGCTGCAGACTGTGAATGCGGCTATTCATCCTCCATCGGCGACTCTGTGGAACCTTACATCTTTACTGACCTTATCGAGTCTGACTTCTTGCACATTCCCAATATCACTCTTGATTCGGACTGGAGACGACAACAGTTTAATATGTCGGCTGCTGCTGGACGTGGTCCTTACGGTATGAACTACAGCATTGAACAGGTCACGTCAAATCCTATACTTAATGAGAATACATGGTCTGGAGATGGGGAATTTGGCGTTGATCCTGGTGTACAGCTCACCGTTAGTGGAGGTGATCCTGCCAATGGATTTGTTCAGACTGCGGAGATAGATTCTGCCCGTGAAGATTTACTCTGGGGAACATACAGAGCTGCTATGAAATTGACCTTAGCTCCTGGTACATGTGCTGCTTTCTTCTGGGTAAGTTCTTCTTGTCCAAGCAGATACATCTATGATTCAGATACTAATTATGATTTAGTACTTTAACGACAGCCAAGAGATTGATATGGAGTTTCTTTCTTCCCAGTTTGACGTTGAAAACAATACATTCCCTGTCAATCTTGTTCTACAATCGGTGCAGTCAGTCCAAGCTGGCTACAATGCTGCCGGCACTGGCAACTATGTTGTGGCAAACCTTCCCTTTAACCCGACTACTGGCTACCACGAATATCGTATCGACTTTATCCCAGGAAATGTCATATTTTATGCCGATGGGCAAATCCTGGCAGAGATGAACAGCACCGCAGTTCCGACATCGCCTGGTCATATGATTATCACACAATGGAGCAATGGGAACCCTTTGTGGTCCTCAGGTCCGCCGTCACACGATGCGGTCATCTCTGTTAGCTATGTGAAAGCCTACTTTAATTCCTCGGATCCAATGCGCGAGATAGGTCTGACAAAACGATGCAAAGACCCTAGGGCTGAGAATGCCGTTTGTGCCATTCCAGACCAAACTTCAGCCCCCAATCCGGATGGAAACAATGGTAATGTTTCAGCAAGTACATATTTCTTCAGCAACCAAAAGAATGAGACGAACAATCAGACAGTGTACAAAAAGAGCGAAGCTACCACGGCAGCAACCGCTGGACCTCATGGCTCGATATCTCTTTTCCTTCTCCTTTCTATGATCGCCATCGCCTTGCTATGAAAGACCATTTTAGGTTGAGACAATGCGTCCACCTTTGTGCTCGTGGGAGTTTTCTTTCCTCGACTAACAGCTTTACCAAGCATTTGATTCATGATTTCAGGGGTGATAACAGGAGAACAGGAGTTGAGGTTAACTTTGGAATTGCTTTTTTCAAGAACCGGATGGGATACCCAAATCTTTGGAGGAATGGCGCTATTGCTTGATCATTGTATTATACTGGCCATACTAGAGGCGATGGTTATGCGTATATTTGTATCTATCCAGCCCAAAGGAACATGTAGATCAAAGGTCAGGAAACCCCGGTTACTAATCGATACGTCTTGCTCAACTGGGGTACATAATAAACCAAACAATAATTTTAGAGGGTTCTGGATCAGCTTTGAGAATGAAAGCAGACTACCAAAGAAACAAATTGCATATCGAGGTTGAATGAACCTCTTTTATAAAGCTCATAATACTTTCATTCAATCTTCCACTCCAAATTTAACTTTTAATGATCTCTTAGACTTCGTGATTTCATGGCACCATAACAACGGTGTAGTTCGCAAGTGGAAATAGAACATAGGTAATCTCTCAGGCTTATATTTTGGTGCACACTTCTTCTGTCCATAATGTGTTGAAGCATGATATATCGATTATCAAGTGTATTGTTGTTTCCAGACACTTGTGTGAGTTTTCTTCTTAATGTGTTGTACAAACGCATCCTCATTCTCATACCCAACATTAAACGCCACTAATTAATAGATCACTTTCTCTTCTTAGCCGCTCTCTTGAGACCCCTAACATCCTTCTTCAGTCTAGCATCCACAATCTTGTATTTACCCTTGACACCCCTTGGTCTACCCGCAATTCCTCTATTACCACCAGTAGCGACCACAACCTTCACGTTTTGCTTTGGTTTCTTCTTTGCCGCTTTGCTCATCAGCTTTCCAATACTATTCGCTTTCTCCTTCTCCGTCATGCCCTCCTCATCAGCTAACAATGCAGACTTCTTCCTCAATTTTTCGAGTCGCTGCGCTGCCTTGAACTTCTTACGATCTTTGGCTTCGCGGACCTTCTTGATTGGTCGAGCGTTCAGTGCGCGCAGCTTCTCCTTGATGGCTGCAGCACCGGCAGCCGAAATTGGGCGATGCGGTTTATCGTGCTTGCCTTCGTCGTCAAGGAACCAGTCGGGAAGACCGTCACGGTCTTTGAACGCATATTTATTGAAGCTTTCATCGGCGAGGTCGTACATGGATTTTTGACCAGAAGCGATTTGCTGAGCGAGGGTCATAGCCTCGGCGGTGATGATGTCGATGTCTATGGGAGGTCATGTTAGCAAATTTGTAAGAGCCCCGGAATCAGAAACCACATACCTAATCGTCCATCCTTTTTAGGTTCTTCATCTTCCCACTGTTCTTCACCCTCTCTGCGTTTGACGACTTCGAAACCATTTTCATCATCGCTGCTATCACTTTCTTCGGGCGCTTCTTCCATAATCTCGTCTTCTTCTTCCTCTTCGATCACTCTATCCTTCATAAGCTCGTCGAGATCGGCTTGAACTCCTTCATCTTCCTCTTCGGCCTCTTCCTCTGATTCCTCTTCAGGGATACCTCCAATATCTTTGAAGATATCCTGGTCGAAAAATTGAGTTGCTCTTTTCGAAAGCCCACCTGTTTTCTTCTCATTTCGTTCCAAATCAGTCAATAAAGACTGTTTGGAAGGCTCTTCGTCATCAGATTCATCGCTACTGTCTTCTTCCAGATTGTCGTCGTCACTCTGTTCCTCCGCTGCTGAAAATCCTTCCCAGTCACCATCTTCATGCTCCTTCCTTGCCTTCTTGGCGCGGAACTTTGCATCGGCACTTGATTTTTGTTCCTGATACATCTCATACATCGAGTCAAGCTCCCTGTCGAGTCGATCTTGCTCATCGTCGCTCTCGCTATCTTCCGAGGCATATCCACCTTCCTCCTTTCTAGGGTCGGATTCTTTCAAAATTGCCATTTTTCCCTTTGCAATCTTGTTTGAAGCACCGGCCTTGTCTATTGCTTTCAGTCCAAACATAGAACCTTCACCGTTTGGTCCTGCTTGTTCTAAGCCGATATCTGTTGGTGCTGTCATATGCAACTGCATCCGAACAATCTCCCTTTGTTTCTTTTCGTTTTCTCTTCTCTTCTCACGCTTTTTGCGAGAGCTCTCCTTCTCGCTCATAGCCTGTAGTTCCTCCTGGATCTTCAACTCTTCATCCATATCTTCTACCTCGGCCACTTCTTCTGGCTCCGCCTTTGCGCCCTTCTTAGTAGCAAATCCAAACTTTTCTCGTACTTTCAAACGCCATTTCAAAAGGTTTCTGAATTCTTTTCTTCCAAGCACCCTTAGATCTGCACAGTCGTTGCGAATTTCATCGGTCGTTTCTGGCAGCTTATCCAGTGCGGCCAGAGCTACATCACCATTTGGTGGTTGTACAAAACTGAGGCGATTCATGCTACCAAGAATGGCAATGGGATCGGTTGTTTGAATAAATTCGCTGGCCGGAATTTCTTTGAATTGTGTCATATTATCATCCTCATAACCGTCTCTCTTCCTTTTCTTGATCTCTGGATTGAAAACTTTGGCTTCATTATTGGGTGTAGGATCCGAGAGTTCTGCAAAAACGTGTCGAGGGTCGACGAATTTGGGATCAAGATGCTTTGGCGCCTTGAATCCTTGACATACAACGAAAATTTCCGCGGAAACATTTCTGGAAGAGGGAGGTTTCGTTGCTTCGACTTTTGTGAACAATTGGTTGAAAACCCAGAGCAAACTGTTGTAATCTTTGGATCTGAACACTTTTGTAACAAAGGTACCGCCTGGCGCGAGGAATTCCGTTGCAAGCTTCAAAGATTGGAGGGCCAATTCGGCCTGATTGAAAGAATCCTGAACCCAAGCAGTACCAACATTAGGAGCTCCATCGTGCAACACTGTATCTGCCTTCCAGGACTTGAAATGTGTACGAATGGTAGCGCGACATTTCTCGGTCGTAATATCGCTCTGGAAAGTAATAACTCGAGGAATTGGTTTAATGGGAGAAAGATCAACACCGACGATCAAACTGCTCACTGGCATTGTCTCTGCTGCGACTTGACACCATGACTATCGCATCACCAAGTTAGCGGAATCCAGACATATGTTAAAGAATGTACTCACTCCAGGAGCAGCGCAAAGATCCAACAAAACTTTACTCTTCTCCAAAAAGCCATATTTTTTATTCAATTGAATCAATTTGAAAGCAGCTCTGGCTCTGTATCCCTTCTCCTTGGCAAGCTTGTACCATTTATCGAGACGACCTTTACCATGCTTCTTCTGGATACCCATGATGTCGGGTTGTGACGAAGATAATTACTTGAGTGACGTGAGGAAAGTAAATTCCACTTTCTTAATCTCCCAGCAATGAAGAAATCAAAAAAATTTCAGAGGAACGCTTATCTACACGTGATCGTGAGATAAGAGGAAAAGAAAATCGTAACTAGGTAGCGTGATCCATAAAACGCGAACCAGGGATTAAGTTTAAAGTGGCACACGTCCAATAGATGCTTCTCGCGTCTCTTCCGTGGCTATTTCGCTTTTGCTATTTTATACTTCTACTTCATAAGATACCTGACAACTCGATATGTGCATGCGCATACCTTTGCCTTTGCGGTTGCGTATTTCTTGACAATCACTTGTAAACCTTTAATTGTTATTTCTTTCGAATTCGTAATTATGTCTCTCTCACCTTCATCGCATTCTATGGATCTGCCATCCTCTCCTCCGGACATGACCATGGGTTCTCCTCAGCTTCCAAAGCTCCCCCCTTCGATCAGAGTGGGAACACCAAAAAAGGAACGGCGACAAACATCAATTACACCGAGAAGATTTAGGAAATTCTTCGACAATAAGGCTGCCACAATGTCAATGTCTTCACCTTCCGGCCGAGCCCTTAAGGCCTTAGTCAACAACCGTCAGGGAACTCAATCTAGCCCCCTAAAACCTTTCGACAACATGGAGGATCTTCCAGGTCAGGAAAACGAGGAATTAGTTTCAATGCCTAGAGAATTCAAGAGAAGAAAGACGACTCATAGTGATGTCGGTGCGGATATAGGGTCAGACATTGATTGCTCATTTAAAGACCAAACTCGATATGGACAATCGCATCGTGGTTCTTTGAAGATAACCTCTTCATATCCAAAATCGCAGTCGATTCTTGAAGATGTGGAGGAAGAGGGAGAGGAGGGGAAAGATATCATTGAATCTATTTCAAGAGAACCGTTGGAGCGCATTGTTCCCTTCGAGAATCGTGGTTTGAGTGCAAGGCTACTGCAATTGAGCTTGGGCACTTCCAGATCGAGACGAGCCAATCTAGCATACGCTGTCAATGATTGGCGAGATGAGACTGCATCGTTTTACAGTAGACCGGAAGATGTGAGCCATACTTCGAGTCTCTTGGGTGGCAGGGACAGCATACCATTTTGCAACGCCGGTCTGAATACCAATTCTCTAGTAGCCATTGGTGATGATGAAGGACGTATTAGATTAGTGGAATCTGAGAAGAATGGTCAGCCTTCGTTCAGCAGTGTATACCTCGGCTGGCAGGTTCATAAGAACGCGATTATCGATCTTTCACTCTCCGACGATGATTCTTTCATAGCAACGGCATCCGGAGATCTTTCCGCCAAGGTTTCAGACATGACAACACAAAAGCCAATCTCTATCCTCGCGAACCATAGTGCAACACTGAAACAAGTCAGATTTCAACCGGGAGCGAATAACAAGAATGTGCTTGCAACTTCGGGTAGAGATGGTAGTGTTCAGATTTGGGACCTAAGGTGCAAGGGTGATGACGGCCCGATCATGGAGATGCAGAAGCTACCAGGTGAAAGTGTTCCACGTTGTGGCAATGTCAATGGCATTTTGGATGCTCATCACGGTTCACATTCACATGAACCGAAACCCACCGCAAATTCGCGCTCTCTTTCCGCTGCTAAAAAACAACGCATCGGTGA